AAAACATGGATCTTGAAGAAACTACTTTAGCACCTTAAGTTCATCTAGCCCACTGCTCCAAAGTACGTTCCCATAACGACAGCATTTGATTCGGAAGGCAATCCTTGTGAGTGAATTCAAACACTGCTCTCATTTTACAGATGAGGAAAAGGAGGGCTTGAGAAACCAGTGACTTGCCCAGTTCACAGTCAGTTGGTGCCGAGGCCTCCAAAGAGTCTCTTTCCATTGCGCTTTGTCTGAGAGCAGCCCACTAGGCAAGCCGGTAATAACCACATGTAAGTGGAGGAAAGAGCACTGCACATCCCCATCCTGGTGCTATTCTTATCTTAGCCACTCCCAGGTTATTATAGTCAGCTTTTTAAAAGCATTCAATTAACTGATCCTCCAGGTGTCCAAAACACCTGTTCAAACCTTAAGTACAAGACACTGTACAATTATTCCTCCTCTGTTACGAACATATTTTCCAGGAAAAGCCCTTCTTAGAGAACTCAACCCCACACTCAGTTTGGAGTAAAGAGTAAAATCAGATTTTATATTTCTCAGTTTCTGAACACAAAGATCTTTATTCCATTTTTAAGAAACTACTAGTTTCCAAATGGACTGTTTTTCTTTTAAAGTTTGGAAAGAATTCTACTAGCCTCCCTCCCCGCCTCCCCAGTTTCAAACTATTGATTGTGTGCCTGGTTTACAATGTTATTAAAAAACAAAGAGTGGTCTCAAAGTTTACAACCAACCCCCAGAGTGAGGAAATAAAAAGAAAAACTTCATGAAATGTGGTTCATGTACCATCAGCAGCTTACATTCGATCCAGAGTAGGCAAGATTAGCTAATTGCCCATCCCTTCAAGTAGTTCATTTGGAATAGCCAATCTCTATTCCAAAACCAAGTCTGCAAGACGGAAAGAAGGATTTGAAATCAACCAGGTGTAGGTATGAACCCTAACTTTCACTAGCTGTAGACTTTGAGCATATCTTTTAACCCCTTTGAGATTCTGATTTTCCATTTGTATAACGAGGATAATAGCACTTATTTCACATGTAATGTTCTTCGTATTAACTTCCTTCCTTCTTGTTTTGCTAATATAGGCCAACGATAAGCTTCCAGGCTATGGCTAAAACACAGATGACTCAAAGATCTGTGAGAGAGAATTTATGATCTTGGTGGACATGATATCTATGCCTTTCTTCCACATAGCTAGGGTTTAGGAGCAAAGAACAAACTTAGAAAATACTGGAGGTGTGAAATGGACAGTTGTGATAAATGTATGACTCACGAATTAAACCATTATAATTATCATAGACTACTCTCTTCCTCCTCTGCCCCAAATGGACAAGTCTTAAACAGGGCAGTGAGTGACCTTCCAAGGCAGGCCATATCCCCATTTCCATGAGGCTACCATTGCTCAAGATAATTGTGGACCTTATCCAAGCCTGTGGCACATTTTTGCATCCTCCACAAGAACTCTGTCCTCTAAGGCAGAGGTCCCCAATCTTTTTGGCACCAAGGACAAGTGCTCCTATGAGGATCTAATGCCTGATGATTTGAGGTGGAGCTGAGGCAGTGATGCTAGCGCTGGGGAGTGGCTGCAAATACAGATGAAGATTTGCTCACTTGCCCGCTGTTTGCCTCCTGCTGTGTGGCCCAGTTCCTAACAGGCCACAGACCAGTACGTGGACTGGTCCACGGCCCGGTGTCTGGGGACCACTGCTCTAAGAGAAAACCTGGATATAAGTCTGGACTTTACACCTATATATGAGTAAACTGCTCAGCAGTTAAGTGTTTGCAAAGTATTTCAATATTCATAATCTCTTACTGCTCACTGCAACACTACGAAGCAAGATGGTCACACTTTGTCTTAAAGATGTACAGCTCATCAGTGGAAGGCCAGGTTTAGAACCAAGGTCTCTGGATTGCAAATCCCATTTTATTTTCACTTTGGCTCCATAGCCACGGGAGGAGAGAACTAAACAATATGCCAGAGAACGCCAGTGGCATTAATACTGTTCAGCAGCACAGTGATGGTTTGGAAAGAACCCAGAAAATGGCTCTGATATCTGACAAGGCATTTCCCCACGCCTCAGGGGCTCAGAGCTCAGACTTGAGTAAGGGACAAGTAGGTTCAAATCCCAACTCTACCACTTATTAACCAAGTGACTTTGGGCAAATTATTTTTACTCTGTGGGCCTCAGTTTCTTAATATGTAGAAGAAAAAGAACAATATCTAGGCTTCATTAAATTGTTATGAGGATAATGTATGCAAAGTATTTTATTATTTATTCATTCATTCATTCATCCATTCATTCATTTATTTATAGGTGAGACAACCCTTGGTTGAACTCACAGATTGCAAGGACCTTGTCAGTTTACAATCCCTTATTTTTCACATCTACAGCACCTAGTCTTCCTAGGTGGTCTCCCATCCAAGTACTAACCAGGCCCAACCCTCCTTAGCTTCCGAGATCAGATGGGATCGGGCTTGTTCAGGACATAAGTAGACTTGCAAAATATGTTAGAAGAGTGCTTAGCACACTTTTATAAGACTTTTAGAGGATAATAAGTCCTCAGATAGGATCTGCAACTTTAAGCTAAACGACATATAATAAAACCAGTTTTAGCAAAAGTTAATTGATATAAAAAAGAGTTAAGTTGCCATGGCATCTCATCAATGTTATACTAAAAAAGCATTGAGCCTACGGCCATGCTACCCTGAACATGCCTAATCCCGTCTGATCTCGGAAGCTAAGCAGGGTCAGGCCTGGTTAGTACTTGGATGGGAGACCACCTAGGAAGACCAGGCACTGTAGATTTAAACGAATAAATAAATAAATAAAAAGGCATTGAACGAAATGACATTATTTAAGGACCTCGTGTGTGTGTGTGTGTGTGTTTAGTATTTCAAAATACCTTGGTAATGGTATGAACTGCATGAAATAAATAGAGTTATTCAAGTGAAATTCTAATTGATCTGCCAAGTCTCTGTTGGCTCAGATAGTCTATAATATGACACAGAGGAAGTCAGACAGATAGAGCATGGTAGTCTGGGCACTTACCGCAAGGATGGCGATCACAATCCCCACGGCGCAGAGCACAGCGTCATTTATTGTCTCGCCAGTTTTCAGAGGATACTTGATGCTGTCATCATTGCAGTAAAACCCTCGGTGGTAAGGCTTGATGGTGCTTGTTTCAATGATCAGGAAGGGCAGGCTCGCTGGTCAAGATGGAACCATCATAAACACCAGAAAATAAAGAGAGAGAGAGGGAGAGAAAGGGAAAACATCAATGCAAGGAGGCTAAAGAATGACCTAAAACAAAGACCGCCCCAAATAACAGCAATGACAGTGATATTAATTCCTGGCATTTGTAGCGATCTATGGCCTAACAAGAGCTTTCACTCCCTGCATCCCCTTCCCTCCTTTCGTCATCCCCAGGAGTGCAGCGTTATCCTCTTGTCTTGGCCAGGAGCACAGATGGAGGCAATGGAAGAGCCAAGGCAGGAGCGCTTCTACTGCTCTATAACATCCTGCTAAAAATTAAAGTCCAATTTGTAATAATTACTAACACAGTCCCAAATCTACTGATGTCTCATTATGTCTTCAAGAACATTCTTCTATTAAGCCATTTCCTCTTTGAGAAGTTCATCCTAAGGCTATATTGCAAGGAGTAGTGAAGGCCTCAGAGTCAGACAACCTGAATTGGAATCCCAGATCCACCACTTATTAGCAGTGTGACTTCTAAGTCTCACTCCATCTGCCTGGGCTTCAGTTCCCCCATATGCTAAATGAGTAGTGGTGATGAAGAAAGGAGAACAAAATACTAGCACAGTGCCTGGCACATAGTAGATGCTCAATGAATGCCATTTTCAGCCTTTTCCTTTCACTGTTCAAAGTCATTGATTGAGAAGACTGAGCAGAGCTGAGATGGGCTCTGATGCCTGCAGAACTGGAGGAGAGCCTAAGGGCATCCGAGAGTGACAATCTGCCAGTGCAGCTGTTGCTGGTTTAATTAGTAGCCAGCTCAGATGCCATTCTCTTAAAGGTCATGGCAGATGGAGTCAATTGCCTGCCAGGAAAAAGTCCCTCATAACCCTGAAGTAAAAGTTGAAAGACCACATAGCTCTTGTGTGGACACTGCAAAAGCCTCCAAATCCGTCTCCTGGCCTTCATTGCCTCTTACACATATCCACCAGTTTACTTCCTGACCGTGAGTATGTCATTGCCTTCCTAAAGCCTCTTCAATGTTTCCGCATTGCACGGGACCAGATAAAGTATGACCTACAGAGTTCCCCATGACCTGAACCTCCCCTCTTCAGTCTCATGGTCTCCTGGCCCGCTTGACACATCCTACAAGAAAACAGTACACAGAGACTCCTATCTTGGTTTTCAGGCTCTTCTCTTAAACTAGAAGACCTATTTCTTCCCTACCACATAACTTCAATACCAAGCCCCAATGCCCCCTCACAAAATAAAAGGTGAGCCATTGAATGTTAAGACTAGGAAAGACCATGAAAAATATCTGATTAATAGTTAACGACTACTACTGATGCGTAAGGCACTTTATACACATTTTTGCATTGAATTTTCCAATGACCCTAAGAGGTCATTTTAAAGCATCATTTAAGTATGAATATCACTCATCTTCAAGTGGAAAAAATAGACAGACTACTTAGCTCAGTCAGAGTCTCTTAGTCCACCCAAAAAAGCCTAAATCCCTAATTTCACTTTGCAAATTGGGTTTATCCAAATATGAATTTCACTCGCTGAAAAATCCCAAGATAAGCAATTGTTGGAAAGATAAAATTCCATTTTCATGTTTTTCAAAAAGAATTAAATTCATGTCACGTTGCTTGAAGGCCCAGACCGTCTCTTTAAAAAATGTACCATGAACTCCACAATTTTTCAATTACTTTGGTCCAGACCGGCAGCGATAAAAATGCTCACTTTCTAAAAAGTGTATTTATGTATCACTGTGCATACACACATGGATTTATTTGGTTTTATTCTTTGGATTTATTTGAATTCTATGGTTATTTATTTTGTGACCCCTAACTGCTTCCTGCTAGAACAACAATTTACTTTATCAAATTCATACTGGTGCTTTGAAAAGAAAGAACAGCAACACACCACAGCATTGTGCCTGACCTACTCAAAGTAAACACTGAGGGGCCTTGGAAGGCAGTAACGATTAGGTCTTGAAACTCGGTTTCTGCAATGGAGTAAAAGGGGCAAGGGAGAAAGTGAATAAATGTTCTGGCTTAGAAATGGCAAGAGCGGTCAGCTGATCTTTTAGGGGTGGGGGCTGGGAGAGAAAAGATATCATATGGGCCTGAACCATCTTCATTGCATTGCCGAAACATTTTGAAATGTGGCCAAGTTGGCTATGAAAAGTAGCTGAGAAGCCAGCAGTATGATATTAATAGTCCGATGTTAAGTTCCACACATTGTGATAAAAACATGCAGTTTGGTGTCTGCGCCCAGTCGCAGCCTCTGTGGTGCCTAGGAGCCAAGGAGTTGCTAATAAACTCGGGTAGGGAACAGACCCTGAGTTTCTTAAATTTGTGCTACACTCTCAGGCCCCCAGCTTCTATTTTTAATGGCATTCATATGATAGGCCTGTAAAACATATGTTTCTAAGGACAGTAAAACATATATAAAAACGCTGTGGAGTTAGTTAGACAAACTAGGTTAATGATCTCGACTCTGCTCCCGTCTACTTGAGAAAGTTATTTCAACATCTTCAAAAGCCCCTTTTCGTATGTTCAATGGAAAGAATAAAATCTAGCTTTGGGATAGCTGGAATGATGTAATAAGTTAATGTATTAATGCAGTCATTTATTCAACAAATATTTATTGAGTCTTTACTATATATACTAAATACAAAGAATATGAAGATGACACAAGCCCTGCCCTCAGGAAGCTTATGATCTAGTAAGGGAAGGCACATACACGCGATTAAAATCAATACAGGATGTTGCTTTAGTTGGAGAACACAAGCCAATGGCATTGGTAATGTTGGCAAGTCTGGCACACAATATGGACATTCAATAAATATTAAAAGGAAAGGATGAAAAAGTCCCACAGAGAAGGTGAGGAAAGAAAATATGTTTGGTCAGTTCCTTTGCTCTCAACCTGGGAGCAATACAAACCCTTTCTCTTCTTTTCTCATTCAAGGCTTGGAGAAGGTTTCCGGTTCCGATTATGTGGATAACCGACCACAAACAAACAAGAAGTTGGATCTGAATATATCCTGTTTGTGTTCTTGAATGGCGTGGAGGCAGCATTTCGGAAAACCAATGGCTTTTTTTTTTTTTGGTCTCCCCTACAAACCTGTGGTCTGATTGAGGGTGATGCCCATTAATTCTTGACTTTGTTCCAGATAGAGAGCAACCTCAGATTCCTTCGGTTGATGGAAAAAGCATAAATATTTTCCCCAATAGGGCAGCTAGTCCTCAAGAGACATAATGCCATGCCTTTCCTGTCCAGGACATAGAGAAAAGGCTACTTTTTTTCCAAAGCAGGATCTCCATTTCTAACTTTGGCATCATCTTTATTACCAACCACTACAGTTCCTAATCATTTCATTTCAAAAAAATTCCCAGTGCTTGCCACTGGGAATCTAGAGGTGAATGCATCATATAGTACCTGTCCTCAAGAGGCTCATGGTATTGTAAGAAAGTCACAAAACAGTTGCACTAAAATATTCCTAGTGTGTGAAATGACATATATATAGACTATAGCGAGGGCATGAAGACTACTCTAAAGATGGCCCACAGAAAATGGGAGGCATGAGTTGACCCTTACATGAGCAGGAGGTTTCTGGGGTCCAAGGGCTAAGCACATTCATGAGAATTCAGTGTAGTTTAGAGATTCCAATAAAGCAGTCAACAAAACCGATGGTCAGTATGAGAATACAATTTTTAATTTTGCTACAGAGCTAGAAGAGGTACATAAGTAAACAATAAAAGGAAGAAAGGGAAAAATAGCACAGAGAACAATAATAATAGCTAACATTCACTAAACAACTATTATGTGTCCATGCTGTGCTGAGGATCCCCACATATACTATTACAGTCTGACAAACCTGGCTGCCTATTATATTCTAGGCACTGATAGGGCTACTGAGATGAAGGAGTTTCTGTCTCACCCTTCAGGTGGCCCACAGGCTAATGGGAAAAACAGTCATAAAAACTAACACTGTAAAGTCATCTTAAGTTTCAAGGGATTAAAGTGACTTACCAGAGTCACTCTTCAAGTAAGTGGTAGGGCTGGATGGGGTTCAAATGATCTGACTCTTGGGTGCTTTCTAAAGTAAGTGAGTCACTTAAAACAGAGAAAAAGAAGCACCTGAGTATTAATAAATTCAGTGAAGCTCAGCGATCTAAAACTCACGGCCTTTGAAGAAAAAGATGTTTTGTTTGGAACAGTCAAGGCAATAGTACTGGCCATTGTTCACTGAACATTCACCACGTATCACACATATGTTCAGCACATAATTTAACCAAAACTCTGAAGCCAATATCCTGGAATTTAGATTTATCTATAATGAAAGGTACATTACAAGCTTTTTGCAAATCAGAACCGAAGAGTTTACACTCTCTCTCTCTCTCTCTCTCTCTCTCTCTCTCTCACACACACACACACACACACACACACATGTGCGCACACACACACACACTTGATATGAGGGCACACACACACACACACACACACACACACACCCATCTGGTGATTCTAGACCCAGACTCAAGTAGTTCTCCTTCTTTTAATCAAGGATCAATTAACTTCCTATACCTCCAGGGACCTCTTGGGATGTGTAGGCTGCAGAGGAGGTGAAATACGAACTCACTGACAAACACTTAATGGGCAGAAAATCAAAGCATGAAGAAAGGCCCCTGTGTTGGGTTCAGGCCTTTGAAACTTCTTGGGCTTTGAAAAACTAACACTTAGGCAGGTTGGGCGGTTGGGAGTGGGGTGTAAAAACACAGAGGATAAGTTTTCGTGGCCCACCCATTGATAAAGTCATGTGGGAAGTGTTACCCAAGTGACCCAGCCCCAGAGCCCTGCTCCCTCCACATTTGCACAAAATTAAACACAGCCTCCTGCTCTCAGAGGGTTTTTTTAGAAAGCCCTTGGTGCGGGGCAGGGAAGTAGTGGGGTCGTATAGTGAATGAGAGATCTTTGCGCTTTTGCATGAACCAAATCAGAGCATCAG